TTTTACCTGACATTGCAGTGGGCGTCGCCATTATGGTTCGTATGCAGAGCAGACGCAACTTCCGGTCGTCATGATTCAAAAGTGCGACTTCCTTAGTATTAGATTCGGTGTTAGGGAGCTCACGTAACATTGCTTTGCTCTGTCGCGAACTGTTTAAACATTTGTAGAGGGCGGAAAGCGTTTTCTGGGATTTCAGGTAAAGCTTCAGACAACTGGCAGCCATGATTTTAAGCCACAAAATGGCCAAGTGTCGTTACTCTGAAGCGTAGCTTATTTAGTGGCACTAGGCACCCCGTTCCCCGATCTGCTAGTGGGTGCCGCTATCTTGGTGCTTAGTGCATAGCAGACGCAACTGTCGATCATCAGATCAGAACTGATCTCCCCAGCCAGTTTGGGTACGCCACCGCTGCCGCAATGCATGGAGGGAACTTTATCCTTTTTTGCACGCGCAATAACCCCACTCCAGCTCCCGGCGTGCCGAGGACAACACGTCTCGCGTACTGCCACCTGCCTCCTGTGAACTAAAGTTACGGCGGCTTCAGGCATGGGCCGAACGCTTCGTGAGATCGGTCTATTAAAATAATACGACTTGTTCAGCACACACATACATGCACCCACACGTGCGCGCACATGCACACACACACATGTACACACACCGACAAACTTGCTGTCGTAATGCTGCCCTTCACGCACAGTTGGATGTCCGGAAGCTCTGGTGATATTGTTTTGCTTTGGCGCGAGCTGTTTTAACATTTCTTGAGGACGGAAAAGCTTTTTTTTCGATTTCAGATAAAGCTTCAGATAACAATCAACCATGAGTTTAAGCACCAAGATGGGTGTCGTTGCTCTAAAGCCTATAGCTTATTTATTGGCTCTAGCGACCGCTAGAACGACACATATGCCATTTTTTTAGGCGATGATAGTGATTAAAGTTGCCAGTCTGAATTTTGATAAGGCCTAGGGTCTATTTGAGGCTCGATGGAATGTTAGTAGATAAAGGTATTTAAAGCGCTTTAAATGTGTTTTTTCACGATGTATATTTAGAGAGCTAAATTAGGTGTCCTGCTTCATGAATTCTAAAAACGCAAGTCAACAACATATGCACTTTGCTTGCTGCACTAAAGCGCTATAAATTATTCTACATCTTCCCCCCTTAGGCTTCTAAAATAACTCAGATGTGGGGCGGAAAAAAAAGCAGAACACAGCAGTAATACGAGGCTCTACCGCTTGGGTCTGTTATGTGCATGTTCGTGATCTGCTCAGCTTCCTTAAAGCATGGGTCAACCACTCGTGATGATAACACTAATTATTATTTTCCCGACTCTTCCGCTCTTCCACCCTGCACCTTGAAATTAATCTTTAATCATGTTTATCTTTGTTGTTTGTTTGAGAAAGAACATTGTGAGAGCACTCTAAAAAAAAAAAGCTTGTGCGTGTGCTTTCCCGCACAACACTTGGAGAGCCAATCAGCGCAACTTACGGAGACAGCTCAGCGAATGACGATGCCGAAACATAAGTTGAGACCAAAAAAAATGCAGACTGAGTTGTGACATTAAGCAATGCAAAACGTCACGCTTGCATTGCCTAATGTCACAACTGAGACTGCGTTTTTTTGGTCTAAACATATATTTCGGCATTGTCATTTGCTGAGCTGCCTCCGTAAGTTGCGCTGATTGGCTCTCCAAGTGTTTTGCAAGAAAGCAGACTCGCAGGCTTTTCTTAGAGTCTGAACTAAGGAAGGACAAACTCGCAAATATGTTTGCGTCTTTAAACGACAGGTAAAATTAAAGTAAAGCAAAATGTTCCTAAGCTGCTTAGATTTCGTTGTTTTCGAATTACCGTAAGATATTTTAGGATATTGAGATCATTATTCTTTCAAAATGTATCGCACGAGAGCTTTGCTGGGCAGAACAAATCTAATTTTAAAATCCAAGTTAATAATACTTATCGACGTCTTTCAATGTAAATATCTCCCCAAAGATATGTATTTATATCGCTAAGCACTTTATCCCGAACAAACAGACGAGCACACGTACATGCACGCACGTACGCACACACAAACACACACACACAAACACACACACACACACACACACACACACACACACACACACACACACACACACACACACACACACACACACACACACACGCCGACAAACTTGCTGTCGTAATGTACCCTCCACGTCAAGTTCATGTGACTCCGGCCGTTCAACCATTTGTTAACAGAAACGGAATTTACATCGCAAAAAAAAAAAAAAGAAAACAAGAAATTAAGAAAGTATTAATTTATTGAGAAGTCCTGAATAATCTTCGTTTTCTCTGAGACACGCATCGATAGAATAATAATACTTCATTCATGCAAATTGAGTTCTAAATCAGATTATGGACACCGGCACACCTGCGCGAAATTTTATGGTCGGAAAGAGTTTTAAGACGTCGGTTTACAATTGTCTGCACGGTATTAAAAGACAAAATTAAAAGGAGAAAGCTCGTTATGATTTTCAAGGTAACACCGAGGAAAAAATCTTAATTGGAAATTCAGAATGGCCTTGTACAAATTTATTCCATGTAGCATGCATGCGGTTTCTACTTCCAACGTTTCCTTCTTCTTTTTTTGTAACTATCGTACCTCTGAAAGTGGTGAAAATGTTTCAATAACCGCGAACGGTGTAAAATTAATTTATTTCATATTGTTTATGAATATATGAATGAAAGAGGCACCGTAATATTTGCTGGGAGCATAACTTTATACATATATATACAGGGTGTTTCACGAAAGGTGGACAAATTTGGTATTGCGAAAACTACGCGTCGCAACCAAAAAAGGCTTGTGTCGTTCTGGTCCTGGGCCAGGGTCCTATTTAGGAAAAGTATTAAAGTCCGGGATAATTAGATTGTTAATTATTTTGCGTAATTAAGTTTTTTAATATTGAGTTTAAGGGTTTGGTTTCCATTGGAATCTTGCTGAGCATCATCAAATAAAACTAAATCAACGAATTGCAGAACGATAAGAGGCACGCGCGGTATTTTACGGCTTTCTGAAAAACCGCACAACTTTGACGGGTTTTTAAGCTTCGGTTTGCAATCGGAGCGTTTCTCGGCATTGACGGCACCGCGCCCCGTGGAGAAATAGTGCAACCAGCCTCTGCTGCGTTGTGCGAGGACAGCGCAGCAGAAGTTGGTTGCACTATTTCTCCTCGAGGTGTGGTGCCGTCGGTGCCTAGAAGAGCTCCGATTGCAAACCGAAACTTAAAAACCCCTCGAAATTGCGCGGTCTTTCAGAAAGTCTTTAAATACTGCGCGTGCACGTGTCTTCTATCGTTCTGAAATTTGTTGATTTAGTGTTTTGTGATGATGCTGAGCAATTTTCTAATTGAAAGCATGCCCTTAAAGACAATATTAAAAAAGTTAATTACGCAAAAAAATTAACAACTTAATTATCCCGAGCTTTAATCATTTTCCTAAATAGGACCCTGACCCAGGACCAAAACGACACTAGCCTTTTTTCGTTGGGACAAGTAGTTTTTGCAATAGAGAATTTGTCCGCTTTTCATAAAACACGCTGTATATTCGCCCGCCGATTTAAAAACGAGGGGCGTGGAAAGTCCAGTGCATCTTGTATTGCTCCTCAGCCAATGAGATCGCATCGTTAGGGGATCACAGCGCCAAGGAACCAATCACAAAGCGCGAATGTATAGAGCCAGGCCTCTGAGGTCCTTATATCAATGTCTAGCAAAAAAAAAAGTAAAATTAATCAGCTGTTTAACAGCAGGAGGTTAGTCTGCCAGATCATTGCAACATTGTTATACCCACTGTAGATAAGCAATTTAACCAGTGCAGTACGACTGCTAGCCTGGGGTCTTTAACGTGCACCACGCTATAGTGTCTTGCAAGTAGTAGTGTCTACCAAGTCGAGCAAAGATATCCACGTAGAGAAGGTAGAGGATCTAGGTATTCATTTCAGATGCTGTACATCTAACGATTAAATGTGTGTTGATCCATGCCTTCTTTGTAGAACCCGGACTCCTACTAACGTAATTTTAAATAATCGTTGCCACTCGCGTTTTTTTTTTTTTCGGCTTGAGATTTTAAGTTGGTTGACTCTAAAGAAGATTTTCCCCTATTATTCAAATCTGACATAGAGGGGGCTTGGTGACTCTGGTGGAATTAGAAAAGAAGGACAGAGGGAGAATGTGGGAATTATAAAAGGAAGAAGAGAAGGACCTGGTTTAGTTACAGATTAATGCATTGAAGTGTGTTCGCTAATGAGAACGTGCACGTTTGAAGTGTACATAATGGTATTTCGAGAATAGTTTAAAGTGCACTTAAAGAACACTCAAAACAGCGTGAATCCACCGTGTGGTACCACAAACTGCCGGTAAGTTTGTTTGTTATTGTTGGTTTCCTCGCCTCACGTGGCAAAGTGAGGTTTTTAAAGGCAGGGTCAAACGCTGTTCAACTAAATATCGGCACAAACAATTTTTTTTAATGGGTAAATTTGTGCGCTTATGAGTAGTGGACTCGCCGTTATCTTTTTGATCCTGTTCTTACACCTCTCCAAAATAAATCTTAATAAACATACATTTTGCTTGTATGTAATTTTGCGCGCCGTCCTTGTGTCTATTGCAAGAATAGACCCAGCTATTAACTGGCTCGACAACGCATCGTTGTGCGAGTGCCTCTGCCTATTCTTTCGGTAACATATTTGAACCAACGTGGTCACCTTTCAAATTTAATATATTTCACTTTCTTTTGAGTGCTGTAATTGTAGATATTTATCTTAATCAACGCACGATAGCACATATATTGGCTTTTAGCTCCTACATACATTTCGTTCTTTTTGATTGCATTGTTTTCTCAAGTTCCATGAAGAATCTTACGTGCACACACACGACGATATCCGCTGGGCAGTGTGTGACAGCACAACTAAACGAGTCAAAATGCGAGCAAAATGCGAGGGTGACGCTTGTTTTGTGCGCCGTTTCTTTCCATTGCAGGACTAACTTGGGAATCTTCCCATACCGTGATGGATGCAAGAAGGGAAAGATGACCTTCCAGGGAAATGTTTATAACTTCTTGGAGCGCCCCACCGGATGGAAATGCTTCCTGTATCATTTCTCAGTGTAAGCGCCGTCCACGTTATTCTTTCTGAAGTGCTTTCATACTGCCTTAAGCCTGGTTCACACATTCGCGCTTGAGTGTAGCCGAATGCGCCACCTACGACCTTTACATTCTTTAACCTGTGTACCTTGGCCCTTATTCGCCAAACAAGTGCAAGAGTTACACTGCACTTCTTGTTGATCGGTTGCTATACGTGGCATCTTTGGCACAAATGTGTCTCTTTGGCACTTATGTGGGAATCCAGAAAAAAAGCCATAGAAAATCCAAGGAAAAAAAAAAACGCTGCCACCAACTAACACCCTCGAGCAACACCCTTTTAGGCCGCCCAAGTTAGGTCCCTAGGACTGCCAAGCTTGCACCAAGTTGGGCGTGTCTCTGGGATGCTACCTGGGCTAAGACTTCCGACCTACCTATGACAAGACTGGAGGTCTCGTAGTTTTACGATATTAAACCCACGCATTGTTTATAAGAAATGTCTGCTTATAACATTGCCCGAATTATTTCGAGCTTACGACGAACGCATGACGCGTAAAAAATTAGAAAATAATATACACAGATCCAAGGTATTTTCTGTCTACCCGATGTAGACGGCGCCGGTGTCTTCTCTTGTCCAGAGCCGTGTATAGGGAGAGTTTGGTCAGTCTATGATCTCGCCGCCAAACCCCCCCCCCCCCCCCCGCCCCCCTCTCCCGAGTGAGCCAATCAGCCCGCGGCGCGGAGAGAGAGGCGTGAGCGCATGCGCGTGAACTCCTGGCCGTTCCCAGCCTGAGAGGGCCGCCGCCATTTTCATTCATTCGCCCGGTGGAATGCATGGGATCCGCATCTAAATTTCGGTTATTTCCTTTTTTATTGCATGCTCTGGCAAGAAAATGATTAACTGTTATTCCTCGGTGGCTTAAAAAGCTAACGAATGAAGCTTTTCCACATTTGAATGGAAACTTTCATTCGGACGAAAAAGAAATAGGCCCATAGCGGACGACGCGTAGCCTCAACAGTGCTCGGCGCCGACAGCGTTGCGTCAAAATGGCGGTCGTCTCCTCTATGCTCCCTTCTTTCTCTCTCGCTCCTTCGGCGCTCTCGTCCCTTTCCTTCCCTTTTCTCCTCTCCGGCGCCTTCGTCGCTACACCCACTGGCCAAACTATCCCAGTATAGGGCTCTGCTCTCGTCGAAAGACCGCACTCCCGCTGACGCTCACACGCAAATGTGTGGACCATACCTCTGAAGATTCGGTTATTCTAGGCGTCAATTAAATATATATATATATATATATATATATATATAACTGAGAAGAAAAAACCTTTGGTGAAAACAGCAACAACGGACGATTTATTCTTCGACTCCGGCCGAAACGTCGAAGAATAAATCGTCCGTTGTTGCTGTTTTCACCGAGGGTTCTTTCATCTCAGTTATATACCCACGCCTTCGGCCTCCCGCACCCATGCCCGTTATATATATATATATATATATATATATATATATATATATATATATATTTAATATACACTTCAGGTTTCACAATTTCTAAGGCTCGATTAATCACGACAGTGTTCTTTTTTTTTAATTTTTCACCACTTTCGCTTTCTGACCAAGCAACCATGCGAGAGATGACGTAACTGGCTAGCACTGCACGCACCGCGCGCTCGCTGCAACCCATCTCCCGCAAAAACAAAAAGTTTGTTTGTGTAACATGACGTTAGTCTACAATAAAAAAATGACAAAATATATAATCAGATTCAACAGAATGCAGCAGCGCAGCTATGTCAGATTTGTTTTCGTGGTAATGCTTTATCATATATGCGTAGTATGCAAGTGTGTCTTCTTTCACGTGATTTATGTTGGTGTTTTTACCCGGTATCATTTTGCTACATCTAAATTGTATATTTAATGTTATCGCTCCGCTTACTCATATACTTTCAATATTCGAAATGTTTGTTGGCTCATGATAGGTGGGTTCGAGCTATTGTCGCGCAAGCCAGCGGAACTGTTGGTTTGGGCAGTAAAGATGACAGGAATGCTTGTGCTAGAGTCAGGATTAAGCGAGGCAATCACTGAAGTCAGTAACAGCTGATTTGGAACTTATTGCGGAACAAGGCGCACCGCCAAATTTCAGTAGATTTTAGCTAAAGTTGGTTTCAACCCATTTTAAAATTTTTTGAACATTGGGCCCTTCATTTGATCATTAAAATCGGTATCATTTACACAGGAATATACCATGTGTCTATAGAATGCATTGTTGCAAAAAAAAAAAAAAAAAAAAATCAGGTCACAAAATTTTATATTTTAAAGAAATCAGGTCGCAAAACCTACCTGCTTCCTCGATCCATCCGCTAATGCAATGGAGGCTTTCCATTGCATTAGCGGATTGCGGGTTTCTTTAAACATAACGATTTGAGCTTTATGTTCCATCTTCATGTTAAACCTCGAACTTCGTAAAACAAAACAAATCTATGCACACAGATTACAAAGTTTTCAGGGTTAATTTTGTAGACTTCGGAGGTAAGTTCTGGTCCTTTGAACTTCTCTGCGGGGAAAATCCCGAACAACTAAAAAAGGAATATGCAAATGAACTTGGTCCGGCGCGGTAAAACATGCGGTCTCCTTTGTTGGCCAGAAAATTAACGCTCTGAGCGGATTTCGAAATTCGTGGGAGCACTTTTTCCGGTAGATATTGCACTCCAGGCATTATACGAAACAAACTTGGCGTGCCAGTTGTTGCATACCTTTACTTTATTCACTATAATAAGGGCAGCCTTACGAAACTTCTATACTCTTGAGTATTACGCGTTAATCTCATCCTGTGAAAGAGCCTGCATGACTGTATCCACGTGAATATAAAGCCCTCCACCAGTCTTAGTGAAGATCTGTTCAAATTCGCATGATTGCCTTTGAGCTCTATTAATCTCCATTAATAGAAGTCAAATAAATCAGGATCTATTAATAGAGCCCGAAAAAAATATCAGGAGAAATAAATTTAAATGTTTTCTAGTAGCTACATTTACCCGGATTACTGCATTAGGAAACTTTGGAAATATAACAATAACGAACAAGGTAGTGAAAGAAACTACTAATCATGTGTGAGCCTGAGATGCCATGAATTTCATTTCACAACGCAAGATTTCTGTGCTTTTTGCAGCATAAATACGCTGCGATACTCACTGCATTTCAGGGTTTGCTTAAACTCCCTGGATGGATTTTGGTAATGCAATCTTTTCTTTTTCAGGTTTTTAGTCGTCCTCATCTGCTTAATCTTCAGCGTTCTCTCAACCATAGATCAATATAGTGATTTCGCCATATCATCATTATACTACATGGTAAGAATTTTCGTTATGCTAAACAGCTACGATCTCGTAGCCTATTATTGATTAGCAGCCAATGACATTTGCGGTTATAACCAATAAGAGCGGCTAAGAACCAATTACGAAGAGCGGACAGGTTAAGCCACACCCCTTGTTTCTTAACCTGCCACCAAATATGAAATTATTTCTTGGTCAAAATGTGATGGAGTGTTGAATTTCACAAGAATAAATTGAATTTCCCTCGAGCATACCTTGCATATATATATTCTCCATTTTGGCCGGGGAGCTCGCCTAATTCATTAGCATATATCTAACCTGCGAAGTTTTAATTTTCAACGTAAATATCGGAAAGTGTAGTAGTGTCTTAGGGTTTTCAATTTCATTTTCGGATATTGAAACGTATCTATAGCGTTTCTGCTATTCTTGTTACCAGAGTTGCAGAACGATGAATGTGTTAGCTGAGAGAAAACAACCAGCTTTAGATTGCATTTTAACTCTAGAAAACTTCATGTCAACGCTAGCTCAAAATCATAAAATAGATTCTTTGCCACTTCAGCTATCTTATATATACTGATAAAAATTGCTAAAATTAATTCTGAAGAAAATTTGGTCTCGTGATTTTGAGCATAACTAATTCTAAAACTAACGGGCTGTTAAAAGAGAAAAATAAGTGCGCGACCCCATTCAATTATATCATCGCGTAAACGTACATGTTATTTCGTGATGCTCTAAAGAACTTATATATGAAAGCAAATAATATTTCAAATACTGTACAAATGCGAGTATAAAGCGCCATTAAACTACACTACTTTTCTACCTTTTGGACTCCACAAGTGCACATTAAACAAACTAAATGGTTGCAAGAAATCAGGTAATTCAAGGAGATTCACGTTTAAACAAATACTTCCTTTATATTTTTCAGGAAATCTTCTTGGTAGTATTTTTCGGCATTGAGTACTGCGTTCGGCTATGGGCGGCCGGTTGTCGGAGCAAATATCTCGGCTTCTGGGGACGCCTTCGGTTTGCACGAAAACCCATCTCCGTCATCGGTGAGTACTCGAGTACTATTGGCACGGAAGTACTAGACTTTGTTTCACTCTAAAGGCTCGTTCACACACTCGCGACCGCTTACGACCGGAGTGTCGTAAAACTTATTTTCGATCTTTGCGACGAGAGAGAACAAACAGACTGGCGCCATCTGTTGGGTAGCGATGGAACACTCGGATATCCCCTTATTCCTTAAGCTCTTCGCGCGCGTCATTCTTATATATATATATGTATATTTCTTTGACAAAAGACACGTAACGATGGTAAGTTCCCTTTGATCCCGTAAATACGCAAATACTGGGAAACCAGCTGGCTCTACTGAAGCTCAGTTCCAGGTCCACCTCATAGATGGCGCCAGCATAACAGTGTGCTCTTTCGTCGTAGAAGAGCACAAGAACCAAGTCGCAAGCTAACGCAAGTGCCCGAACGGGCCTCAGTAGAGAGTTTTGAGAAACCGTTTCGGCACATCCGATACGGTACGATGGGCCCTCCGGTACAAACTGCGCATGCGCACCGCAGGAGACTCGCACATGCTCAGTTCGTACCGGAGGGCCCATCGCTGTATCGAATGTTCAAGAACGGTTCCCTAAAACTCCCTATTAAGTCTGACCGAAGCCGACGCTACGATTTGGTCGAGCGAATTAAGCAGCGTGCATCTCCACGGCGCCCATCGCCTTTCTGCGCTTGGTAACACCGTATAAACCAATTACGCTCAGGGAATGCACCGAGATCCTTGGGTTTTTCTTTTTCATTGTGTTTTGTGCACGATTGGTTCAGCCGACGATAGCAATTCCACGATAAAAACGAGCGCCGTGACAATGCACTTTTGCCGCCGCTTGATTGGCTGCATGAGATCGGCTAAATGGAGTAGTACTGAGCTGTTGAACATTCCCACGGGGCATACTCGAATGACCATGATGGCAAAACAGGCAAAAAGCCAGTGGCAACGGTCAACAGCTTTCTCTCACTATTTCAGTGTTCCACAACCTGGATTAGATAAATTGTTGTAAGCGGTAACTCTAAAAAAAAAAAAAAGTTTTAAGGCGGCATTGTTAGCGGCTGCATGTAAGTTCGGGTCAATCAAAATATATATAAAAAAAGTCGTATGGCAAGTTGTTGGATAAGTGTGTTGCATACGTAAAACTTTCTTGCATCAGGTGGCATCAAGTCACGCGACGTCAGTTTCTTCGCTTAATTTAGCGGGGAAACTGAATTCGGGCGTAGGTCACGTTATGTTATTTTTTTCCCGCTAAATTTAGAGGACAAACTAAATTGCATGAGGTAAATTTCGCCGCTAAATTTAGCGGGCTAATGAATTGGCGTGTAGGTCACGGGACGTTAATTTTATCGCTAAATTGAACGGGGGAAATTGACGTCGCGTGACCCCTGATGCCATAGGACCTATATATTGAAAAATTCAACTTCCCCGCTGAATTTAGCGAAGACGCTTAATTCGTGTGTAGGCCGGTGACGTCCTCCCATAATGCAGCACTGCGCACGTTGCATTATGGGTTTTCACAGGACACGGCTTCTCAAAATACGTCTTCACTAAATCCGGACCAACTAACCACCATTTCACGCTAAAACAAAAACAAAAAAAAAAAAACAATACAATTTAGCAACAGTTTAGCAACGAAAAATATGTTCTTAGCGTTTATCACAGCGAAGAAGTATCCGTAGTCACTGACAACTTAAGAAACGCAGTGTGTGATCTATCGTGTTCAAGCTTGTTGCTTCATGATTGGTTCTTCAACGTTCTTGTCGGCTAATGGCGCAACGTCGTTGGCTACGGAGCGATAATAATTTAGATGTTAGGGATTTTCCGCACTCTTCGGTTTCTCAAGCTGTCAGTGACTCTATAGTAGAGGACAGATATTGTGCATTTTCAAGAAGCGAAATTTCTGCCTCATTCCCAAAAGAAAAGTTACTTTGACAATATTTTAGCGTGTCTAATATGTGATCCAGATGCATACCAAAAGGGATGAGGGAATTTAATTGTTTTCATTAGGAAAAAAAATACTCTCATTAAGTAATTATCGTAGAGTGTCGGGTGCCGAAAGCGCTCTCCCTATTTAATAACCCAATGACTAACGCAGACAGAGAGGATAGGAGAAAAATTAGGGAAATCACTGCAAGCGACCATTGAAAGGCTGTCAACAAACTAATTTCTACTTAAACACTTTTTTTTGGTTGCTTACTGCTTACCTTTTCTTTTGTAACGAAATAAAAAAAAGAACCATAATTTACATGTTTTTAAATTGATGAAATGTCCACGAAACAAATAACATAACAACAAAATGAACATTAAAAGACCTCATAACACAAGAAATGCAATATTAGTTCAGGGAACGTATATTTTCTATTGAAGGCCTGCAGAAAAACACCACCGAAAACGTTAAAAAAAAACACACACAAAAAAACATTTGGTCAAAGATGCGTTTTGTCCTTCCAACAACACCACAGCCCATGAGTCGGTGACGTCGCACAGTACTTGACATCATTGCCAGAGGGCGCTAGCGTCATCCTCAATCTTACGCAAACATAATTCCTGACGCAGCTCACGGGAAGCACCGATTTCCGTTCCCTGCTGCTTGGGCCCCGTCCCGCTCAAATATTTACTCTTCCGAGATTGGCCGTCCCTTCACGCGTAAAACACACGTAAATAAATAATACAAAAAAATATAACGGTATAGCTTCCGTGTTTGCTCGTAATTAAATGCACGAAGGTGAGTCGCTTTTGTACGCGCACTGTGCCGTGTTATTGGTTCGGATAATGAACTTGGGGGGGGGGGGGGGGGAGGGGGGGGGGGGGGAGGAGGAGGAGGGATCATGCTAGTCACCGTGTTCCCGAACTCTATCTCTTTTGTATTCAAAACGCTCCTGCTAAATATTTTTATGGATAAATGGGGAAAGGTGTGTGCTTACCTTATACCAATTAAGGCTTGTTTATACATACAGAACAGCGCTGACTAAGCTCTGTAGACACAACGCTGACGCTTGCCCTATATCGCCGCGTGCTTGGAGGCATTGGCAACGCACCTCGCTGCCACGCCGAGGAGCGGGGTTCGCATCCTTCACGGCCCGGATCTTTCCTTTAAAAATGTCTACTCCTCTAGAACGCTCCAGCCCTATGTCGGCTGTCATCCATGTGTTCTGGTTCGGTAAATTCCTGAACGTTTACTGTGGGTTATAAGAGCCACCGCGGTAACACAATGCTTCGGGTCAGTCGCCGAGGCAAGATGCATGGTACCTTTCTCTTTAAGCTTGTAGGTGCAACTTTGCCTTATGAAATGTTTATTTTCAGTTTTACATGTGTCTGGAATGTTTCATCCGGGACAATATCAGTGATGTGCGCTACGCTGCGTGTGAAAAGGTGTTCTCTAAACATTACGCATACACAATGCAACGGTAACCCAGCGCTGCGCTGCACGTGTGAATCGCCCTTTTGCAATAAAGAAACCCCGAAATCAATTTCTTTACTTTGTCTAAACAATAAGTAATAAATAAATTTAGTTAAGGATGAGCACATTGGTTGCAATTAGACGTTACTGAAAGTATGGACATGAGGACGACAAAAAAAGACTCATCTTTCATGTCTTTTATGAAAGAGGTGCCGCTTTGTTCGTCCTTCTGTTTATACCAACGTTATAAGACCGACTCAGTTACTGAAATGTCCATAAACGGTGCATACACGAGCAGCAGCCCCCCTCTCCTTCTTTCTCTCTCCAATGTCTTCCCCCAGTCTTTTGATGCGCCACCGTTTTGGAGGTGGCTGCTATCAGTGCTATGGTAACTGCAGTGGATTTTATGGAATGCATATACTTTGAAGCTCAGGGTCAAGGTGGCACTTTATCGTACTCTATGGAATAGACAGTTTCTAAACGAAACACCAGCCGCCCCTTAAAATGACGTGAGGCGGCCTCAACGGGGAGAGGGAGGGGGCGGGGGTACCCCTCACAACTGAGCTAATCTGGTAACGTTGGTTTACACTGAATAAACTGAATTGCTGAAGTTTGTAGCACACTTTTATACTTTTAAAGGGGGAGGTATTCTCTATCTTACAGTTGTCTACGGTGCAGACAATGGCACAGTCGCGTAAGCCTAGCTCAGCAGAGTGCTTTGCTTGCACAAGAACTCATGCATTAAAGGCACTTTCCAAAGTCACGCGCTCGCACCTTCACCTTTGTCAGCACAGCAGATATTTGTGAGATGTACCATAGTTTCATTCTCCGCTCGCTAAGTTTAAGACGAAATACCGGAGAACTTCGAGAAGCGTTCTTCTAAACTAGTGGAATAATGAACAACAGGCCAACACCTTTTTTGATAACAAGGCCTCGATGGACTACGAGGCCGTACAGCATGGTTAACCTACGTCATCAACCGGAGGCTAGCACGGGGCACAGGGCAGACCCGAGTCCCGGCCGAACCAATAGCTTAAATACTGCCGCATCCAATCTTAGGGACCCAGCTCACGAATTGGATACAAGACGCATGCTTGTATATAGACTGTATGCTAGATTCGGCTCACGCGATTTTGACACCTTCGGCAGCGCAGATGCATCAAAGTCACAGAGCCGAGAGCCCCAATGGAAAATAAATTCAAATAGTCAGCAGGTAGTTATTGTTTCTTTAAATTTAGCAGCGGGAGTCAGTTATCACCGGGACCAGCGGGAGCCTTGTAATCATCGCCTACTAAAGTGCGTGTATCGCACCACACAATATGCTGTTCGTACAGTTAAACTAAAACGAGCAATTCATTGAAGTTCATATCCCATGGACAAAGGGGAAGCTTTAATGGTACAGACGGCCGGTAAACCTTTTTTCTTATATCGTTCAATTAAAAAAAAGCAATCTTAGAAATAAAAGAAAGATACATACGCGCATGGCTTAAATATTTTTTTTTTTTTATATTTGGCTCGCACAAGGGTGTAGTAGATAATATTCTCTCAAAGGTATCAGTTAATATTCCCTGTGCGTATATCCGCACCCGACGGATATACGTAGATATCTCCACTCAACCGGTGTGTATTTTTATGCCGTTGTTATCAGAAGTAGACCTCTTTTTTCACTGCCCAATCTTATATGTTTTTTTTTGTTTTTGTTTTTTGTCCGATGCTTTAGATCTCATCGTGGTTGTGGCGTCCGTAGTTGTTCTGGTGGCCGGCTCAAACGGACAAGTCTTCGCGACGTCGGCAATCAGGTAACAGATAACCTCACAAAATCGTTCTTGGCTTGTGGCTTCTAAACCAGGCTTTGCGAAGTTATCTAATCACAAACTAATCGGAAATTCTAAGTTTACGCAGTGACACGTGTGCGCGCATGTGTATATGCTTTGTTATCAAGGTTCGTGCACTTGTACTTGAGAGTGCATGTAAATACAGGGTTGCATTTGACTGCGATTGGCTGAGCGACGACCACAAGTGACTGCTTATGGTGAGAGAACAAACACACTGGCAGACCGGCGCCATCTATCGAGTGACCATAAAACCATTTAGATTTATGTATAACTACACCGAAGGTGCAACCCCTCCATGCATGCCGTTTCGCTTCTTTTTTGACGGCTTATAACTTTATTTTTATGCATTCTGCATTCATATGGTTATTATCAATTTAAAGAACTGTTATTTTACTGCACTTTAATGTCGCAATATTACGTTTATTCGTCGTTGTTACTCTAATATTTACCTTTTTATTTGCCACAGTGTTTGATATTGAACATTATATTATTCGATAGTTACAACTTATAACGTCCAGACGTCCATGATAATTTACGGAAACGGTCTGTTGGAAATAATGAATTAAAAAACCGAGCAATGAACATTACAAAGAATGTATATTTTAAAATGAAAAATTAAGCTTGAAGTTATAAATTATTTTTTCGTGCTATAAAAGCTGAATCACGTCAGCTAATGAAAATTCCGAGTCATTGGAGTACGAAGCATCGTTCTATATATTACAGTTTCCGAAAACTGCATATCGATAGGTTACACGTGAAGTAGTATTGAATCTCAAACTTTTCCCATTCAGTTATGACAAGCCCGCAGTTTTTTTAATTATCAAATACGGATGGCGACACGTGCTCAAGAATAGCTTGATTTGCATTTGTCGTCCTGTGCCGCTAATTGGAACACCACGCGAGAGTCAGAAACGGCGCCAGATGTTTGGGTGTCAGGCGCTTGAATGCCCGCTGTGAGTGAGCCAGAGACGTTAGTACAACAAGCACGAGGCAGCGTGTGGACCGCAGCTGCTTTTGCGTGCGTTCCACTCTGCATCGGTATGCATGCCCGGAGCATTCGAAATGGAAATGAACGCCGCGAAAAGGACGGTTCCGATTTCGCCATGTTTGCCAATTCAATTTTTTTTTTATTAACTGCAGAGATCGTTTTTGCAATCATACTATGGCTTGTCGGAATGATGCGACTACATTTTGTTTCATTTAACCATCTCGGTGGCTTTTAACCGACAGTAATATATATAAAAAAAGAATATCCGTGGCTCTAAGGCAAGGCTGTGGTCTACAGATCCCCATTTGGCGGGTTCGAATACCTACTGAGGCTCTATACCGAGGTGCCCGCAGGCGCTATCTGATGAAGGCCTATTTGTGAGAAGGCGCCGTGTAACCGAGACTTCTGTTACACGGCAAAAAGATAATAATAATAAATATGAATAAAAATTGTTTATTCTCGGTCAAGTGCATAACGGAGGGAGACCGAGAAACAAAGTTGCAGAGACGCAGATTTCTAGTTAATCGAGAAATTAACACGCTGTTCTTTTCTTTTGCCGGGGCGTGCCCGATGCCCTTCAGCGGTTTGGCCCTAAGATCCGAATTTTTACTTTCCTTTACCTTAGATCAAAGCGCCGCCAAGGCTACGGGCCGATGAAGCCAATCAAGCAACCCCAAGAGCGCACGGTCATACAGTTCGTTCTTGTTTTGTGTGTTCGCGCTCATCGACTAAACCAAGTGCAGTGAATACGCCGTGACATTGCGTCTGTAGTGCACGTGTTCGCGTTCTTTTTCTTTTATTAACTGCGATAGCCTTTTTTTTTTCGGCAGCCGCTAGTAAGTGTAACTCTTTAGGTGTGACGGAAGAACGTTACACAAGGGCCAAGACAACGTAAAGAATGCGTAGCCCGTAGCGGGTAATTCATTAGCATCCGAAACATACAGAATGGTAGACTTTGTCATAATAATTTGTACATAATCGTAACTAGTAAGAGGTAATCGCAGTCCACGAGCTTTACCGCGACGTTCAGCGGGAATCGAGCCCCGGACTATGCGATCCAAAGTCCAACGTCTCTGCTGGGCGCCATAAGGAGGAGTTGAAAGAAAGCGCGAGCAGCTAGGAGACCAAGTACTTGCCGCCGACGGTCGCCCGAGTTAGCACGGGACTGTCCATGGCGAGTGAGTCCAGCAAACTTAGACGACCGTCGGCGCACGCACGCACCCGGTCCCCGAACGACGAAGCGTAGCTCGCCCCGTGGACTCACAATTTTACGGGGTGCTTCACAATGTACCAAGGGAGAGCGCAGCGGGCGTATGAACTCACAACATCAGGCAGCAGTCAGTAGATGGCGTAAAGAACGTGATAAACCTCCTCCCTTCGCGGTTACTTGATTTGCTACAAGTGGGTCCTCGCGATCCGAGGAAACGAATCATTCGAAGGCCTACACGGACCCACAAACGAAGTTGAACCTTTGGAAAACTTCTCATGAAAAGGGTGAGGACACGAAAATTAAGCGGGTAGATTATTCTTGATATAGAATGGGCATGGGCTACTCAGTGTATACACCAAGTTTCGCAATATTTATAGGTCTAGTAAGTGCAACATTACATTTACGAATGTTGATCATTTTCGTCTGGCCACCAGGCAACACTGCTAAAGTATAGACAGTTTTACTGAAAGAGGATGACAGAGAAAAGTAGAAAGGGCTATGGGCGCTTTCCCCCTTACAGGTTCTGTAGAAAGAGTGAAAGTCCCCGATGAGAGGCTTGGCCGGTGTTCGGTGTCTGCAGTGTCCGAACTTCGTTCGGCCATTATTTTCTGTTTTAAACCCGCGAACTTAATAAATGCGCAAAAAATCAGACAGCCGATAGATGGCGCCAGTGTGTTATATCGTCGTAAGAAGTCACGAGCGGTTGATACGCAATTGACCATGTCCAAACGATAATGTGTGAACCAGCCCAAAGTTTGTCAAAACGGATAGAGGAACGGCCTACTAACAAAAACATCTACATAGTTCTTTTTTTTTTTTTTTTTTTTTTGCTGTGGCGCGGGTTTGTTTATGTTTACCTATTTCTGTGGTTTGTATGCATCAAATGTACGCAATACATCCAGAAGAAGAGGTCGGCCATTTTTTTTTCTTCGTGCATTTGTGCCACGTTGAAACCGGTGAGCATAGGGACAGACACCCGCGGTTTCGGGGGAACCGGGTGACTCGCGTCGATTTAATATACGAAAAAAAAATATATAGCAAAATATATCTTGCAAGTTCGGTACCCATAGACCTTTCTAGCTTTACTTTACTAAGAAGCACCGGCTTCGCGCGTTGCATGAAAAGGAATAAAGATGATGTACGTGCGAACAACTTCGTCGCGGGAGCAAAAGGAGTGAGTGAAGAGGCGTCTATTGACACTGGAGATTGAAGGACTCAACTTATTGGCAAGTTTAGAGATAGTTGAAACACGCCTAAACTTTCGTGTGCTTTTTTCTTTTCTTTTTTTTTTTCTGCTTCCTCGTTGCTCTCTTTCTCGTTCTTGCTCTGGGGACCACCGAGATGTCATCGCTTACGATTCGCCATGTTCCACTCTTGCCTCACTCCCTTATGTCCCCGAGTTAAGTTGTCTGGTCGGATCTCGCGTTCTCAGGGTGCTCGTTTGTTTTGTCTGTCTTCCATAAACAACAAATAAAGATCATATCCCCTGTTGTTTTTTTTTTTAATGTCTAAAGCCGGCGGTAGAATTCAACATCCTCAAAAAGTGATGGAGGACGACGAAACTAAAAAAAAAAAAAAAAAAAACGTATTGACCATAAAAAAAAAAGAAGGCATTCTGAGTTAAGACATCGGCTCTCCCCAGTGCTTCGCGAGCGTGGCCTTGCGTATTTCAAACTGTCACTAACTATAACTCAACTCTCTGAAGTCACGCCACCGCGGTGGCGCTGCCGTAGGCACTGCGCATGCGCAGAAGCTAAGCCTAACGCGAATCTCCGCGGCGGGACCAGGCGGGGCAAAGGGACCGAAACACCGCCACCGGATGGGATTGGTCAGAGGCGCGGTGCTGGCCAATGGCAGCGGGCGCGGTATTCCAATTCCTCGGTTCCGATTGGTCCCGCCGTGTAGATTCGGGCCCCAGATTTCTCAGAGCGTACGTGGATCACGTTGTTTTTAAATCATGATTATTTTGAAGGAGTCATGAAATGATATCGGGTTGGATTGTTCACGAATTCGCAGAGGCGTACTGGTCCTAGTCTGGCCCAATTGTACGCTCGCACACCACTGATCCAGAAGCTTCTTTGTCGCGGTGAAATTGCCAAATTTTATTATATTTTTTTTTAATTTTACAAAGTTTGGTGACGTAATGGCGGGATCGAAACTACCCGCCTGGCGATGGTCGAGCGCGGCTCATGAAATAGTGACGAGAACTGCTTGAGCACTCGACTTCGGACACTCGGGTAGTGGCTGGTGTTCAACCAATGAAGTGATGAGAATAGCCGAACACTAAGAATACTTGGTGCTCAGCACCCGTTTTCTACTTTGCCGATCCCAGCGTGGCTATGATTAGCGTTGGCGGAACAAAAGGCCACGTGGCCTCTTGTTCTGTCTCTGAATTGAGGGGATGAAGTACGCTTATATTTTTCGAATTTTTTCGGAGACTGCCCGATTTTTAGAAATAAAAACTAAGGCACGTTTACTAAATTATTAACGTTAGGGAGTGAGGTAGTATTTAGCGAAAGGATGAAAATCGTTTCATGGCTCCTTTGACAGAATCTCAAGTTTTTGTCCGTCCGTACGTCTGTCCGTCCGTGCATTTGCCGCTAAATATAGCGGGAAAATAGGCGCTTCGTGACTTAAACGCGAGTTCGTTTTCCCCGTTGGATTTGGCAGCAAAATTGATGACGCCTCTCCTGACGTCATGCGACCTAAAGAGCAATTTGATTTCCCCGTTAAATTTTACGACAAATTGACGGCACGTGACCTATGAACCGATTCATTTCCCACGCTAAATTTTGCGGCGAAATTGATGTCACGTGACCTGACGTCATGAAACTTGGGCGCAAATTTAGTTTCTTCGCTCAATTCAGCGGGGAAAATGACGTCACGTGATCTGACGACACGTGACATATACACCAATCTATAGGGTGTCCTAAGTCAGCAGGTTCGATTTAAAATGGACCGTGAAAATCGACGCCTGTACGTAGCAATCTAAACTTTTTGTCAAATATGTATTTCACACCTCAGTTTCTTCCTGTAAAATTACAAAGCGTAGCTCTCTTTCAGTAAAATATAGGGCCAAGAAAATTGCCAGAGTCAATGGCGGGTGGCGACGCAGGCAACCAAGTCGAGTAGCGAAGCGGGTTTGGCGGTGGTATTGGTTTGGCGCTCGTATTGATAGATGGCGCTACCTCCTTAACAAGACTACTCGCGACTACCATGGTTTATTCAAACGAACATAAAGGCCCGTTCACACTCTTGCGACCGAGTACGACTGAGAGAGACGAGATTTCTTACAACTTCTTAAATGTTTCTAGAATGAGGGAACACACTGACATTGTGGCGCCATCTATGCGGTGACCCTAGAACTGCATTTCACAAGAGCGAAGGTTTGGCGGGATTTCCGAGGTCAATAGTGCGTAATACCCATAGAAAGGCTCGTTTATAACATTGACAAAAGTTTTTCGAGCCAAAAAAGAAAGGATATTGCTCGAGAAATAAAAAAAAATATGCCGGACCGCCGAGTTTACACTGCTTCCCAATAGATGGCGCCAGTGTGTTCTCTGGTTTAAGAAGTTTTAAGGAACCCAGGTTTAAGAGGTCGCAAGCAGTCGCAAGAGTGTGAACGGGCTTTTACATTTGTCTAATGTACTTTTGGCTAAAAAATAAATGCCGGCAATAAAAGCAAAACTTAAAGGGAAAAAAAAAACGCCTTTGCATAACGACGGCGTTCTTGCTGCCGACGGATTTCGTCTGCGTGTCGTCTGCTTTCTCTCGCTGGTCGTTCACATCTTCAGACGCTGCTCCAGACGCCATCTATCGATACGCGCGCTAAACGCACTCCGCCACTCGACTTGGTCGTCTGCGTCGCCACCCGCCGTTAAGCCTGGCAAGTTTATTGGCCCTGTGTTTTTACACAAAAAGAAATTCCCTTTGTAATTTTAAAAGAAAAAACCGACCTGTGAAATACACCTTTGGCGAAAAAATTCGACTGCTACGTGCAGGCGTCGATTTTTACGGTCCCTTTTAGATCGAGCTTGGTGACTTGGTTTTCCCACTGAATATGACGGGAAAATTGGCGCCACCTGATTTTTGTACCAAGCCAGTTTCCCGCTAAATTTAGCGGGAAAATTAATAAAAATTTGTTTTCTCATTGACTCCCAGGAAACGACTGTCTGGTAGTGCATTTTGTGCATCATAGAACTTTAAAATAAAAGTCACTGTTCTTCATTTTTTTCTTTCAGGGGTATAAGATTTTTGCAGATCCTGCGGATGCTACACGTGGACAGGCAGGGGGGAACGTGGAGGTTGCTGGGATCCGTCGTTTTTGTACATAGGCAGGTCTGTGTCCAACTGTACTTACAAGTGCAATTTGTGTCGAGGGAACATAGAAGCGGGCAGCGTGCATGAAGCATGCTTTGACCATGCGTGAGACGTGTGCCCAGATAATTTCGTTATCACGTCTGCATCGAACATAGTGTGTTTTGTCTGGTGTAGGAGCAGCGATACTTTATTGCTTCAGATGCCATAGAATGAAGGAATAGCCGATAACTACACCGAAGAACCAAAATCACGAAGCAAGAAGAGTGGACATAATGTGAATTTCTTTAGTTGTCACTGACCATTAGCGTCGAGGTGATGCTAATGGTCAGTGGTTTACTTTCCTGACGTCACGACCAGTGTTTGCTTCGCCGTGACGTCACGACACGTCATCCCGATTATCATCAGTTGCAAACTATACAAGTACGACGGTGTGCGTAAAAAGCACGAGGGAAGCTTGGAGTCATCACGTTCCCGAACCGACACCGTCAAAGTTGACAGTCTGACGTTGTTCCTATTTTCGCCGTAGAAAGAAAAATTAAGCCAGAACACATTAGTAGGCACTGGTGTTGCATACGTTAAACGTTCAAGCAACACAAACGTCTAGCGATAATCTGACTCCCATGACGCCAGACGCCTACGTTCACGGCGCTCTTCATCAGAAAGTTTAACGCGTACCAGGTCTACACTCGATACTTGTTCCTGGAATGAAGCGATACTACCGCTAATCGGGCTGATAAACCCGGCGACCTTCCAGGGCCTCCCATACACCGAGCTCCCCTCCCTCTGTGCGTACAGGAGATCGAGCTCTTCCTCGCCTACACCCTTGGTCACATAACCAATGAGCGCCGAGCACCTTACTCCTCCTTTCCCACGCGCCAACCAATCGGTGTCGAGCTTCGCGGCCACGCTTTTATCTGGGCTTCACGAAATGCTGAACACCTAGCCAAGGAACGTTTCACGTTAATAAAGGCGTCAAGGTGAGCGTTTGGCCCATCGCAAATGCCGACCATAAAGACGTTTCTTTGTCGCGCAGGTCCACAATACTCTATTTTACCCTTAAACCTTACGATGGACTGCTGTGAACACTTCGAGCCATCAGTCGCTACAATAGACGTTTATACACTCACTCGAGCCATCAGAGTCGATCCAGTGCAGTGTGAGCGCCAGGTGACTTTAGCGAGGAGAACAGCGACCCGCGAGGCATCGAGTCACGTGTTGCGTCCATAGCCTTGCATTGGCTAGGACAGCCCATTGCGTCCGCCGCGGCACATTGTGAGGTAAAACGGAGCGTGCCTAGTCTCCGACAAGAGGACGTTGTGAGTACGGAGTGCCTTAGCGTCCCTCCACCCAGGGCCCGCTTTACACCATCAAGCGCCCTGGGCAGACTCCGGCCGTGGCGCCCCCCACCCCCACTTCCCGTCTTTTTATACGCCCTATCTGCTAGGTACGGCATCACGTTGTTTGTAAACATATGGGTAGTGACCAGACTTGGACGTAGTTCAACTACTCTACTCAAACTACTGTAGTTTAACTACTTTTTCGAGTAACTTGGTAACTTTCAATTACAACTTTATTTGGGTAATTAGTAGTTTAATTTAACTACTTTTTTCAGGTAACTTCTACTCAAATTACTAACTACTTTCGAAATTATATAGTGATAATTTTGCCCATCACGGAAGTTTGAGCGCAGAAATGAATAAGACGCCGGCAGATAAAGTGGCATTCCCGAACAAGGGGCCCCCTTGTTCGGGAAGGCGTCCTTGGGCCAAGGTGGCGACGAGCAGCCAAAAAAATAACACCGGCACGCACGAACGCAGGAAGAGCCTTGGTCGGGTATTGACCTAATCCGGTAATGCACGCAGGCGCCGCGTTTCCAGCTGCAACCGTGAAAGACGGGGACACTTCGAGAGTTGTTGTTTTCGTGTTGTCTGTCTTTAGTGAGTTCTGACTCAAGCGGTACGTTTCACGGGAGGCGCCACTGAAATGACCTCGCAGCTGGGCGCCTGTTCTCATGGTCGCCTTTTCGTCAGCGCATACGCCTTTGCAATGCCGGACTCCCCCGCGCACAAACCCAGGCACGGATAATCCGTTCATGGGAGCACGTTCCCGCTTCCAGCTGCAACTGTATGCGAGCGACGATGCTTGTTCACGTAATCCTTCGCATCCTTCCGACCATCCATGCCTGGGAGACCTCCTCTTTGTTAAAAACGATTTACTTGTCAGGCGTGTCAGGCGCATCAGAATATTGTAGTCGCCGGCGAGGATTGCGAGTTACCCTTGGGAGATCATTTTGTTGGACCCGGCGTCAGCGGCGAAGTATACTTCGGTTTATCTTCTGCTAAACCAAAACAATTTTTTTTTTCAGTAGCGTAGCACTAGCACTACAACGGGACGCGCAGTCGTCCGGATGATCTCATCGTCGTGGCGCGAGACTTAAACCCTTGACTGTCTGGTGCACTCGCTCAGCGTACTCTCAGAACGACGTCGTAATAAAGAGGGGCCAGTCATAACAATGGCTACGTTTACATGGATGCGACAGCAGCGCATCGGATCCAGTTAGCGAATCGTGTCCACCTCAACCACTAAGTTTACATGGGTTCGGATCGACAAGCAGCGGCACCTCGTGTCGAAGGATCAGAACGCAAACCTCGTGACCTTCAGATTGTTTTCGAGGTGTCCGGTTTGCCTAGCGGCAGGCGAAGCAAAGCTCCCGTAATCCCTCGCTCGAGCACTCGATTCGATCCGCTAGCGTATACATGGAGAGTCTCGATTCGGAATGACCATCTCAAACCACCCCGTCCCAGCGGATCGGATCGGATCGGATCCGATCCGATCCGAGTTGTTTACATGGACCGATTCGATTCGTTAACTGGATCCGATGCGCTGCAGTCGCATCCATGTAAACGTAGCCAATCTCAACTTGACGAAGAAAAAAGAAAAAAGGAGGAAAGTTTGTTATAAAAGACCCTCCACCCGAGGCAAACCTCACATGTTTCGTCATGGACACCTAGGATGCCGACACTCGCTTACCCGACCCTGCACAGCCTGTTTCTCAAATTCAACGCTGCCGTTCCATCCAGCCCGTCGGTGGAACGTCTATTTAGCTTGGCTGGGGACGTCCTTTTAGAAGGAAAAAGGGAAAACTCTCCTATCAAGAACTTTGAAAGTCAATTGCTTCTGCGAGCAAATAAACTATTTTGGCGAAAACGCAAGCGATAAATAGACTGCATTTATTTTAGGCTCGCAGGGTTTTTCATTGATCAAATCTGCTGTTCATTTTGCTACCACAAAAATATAAAAAAGTAACTTCGAAAGTAACTTCAAAGTAACTCGCTACTTCTTACAGTAGTTAGTAGTTTACTCAATTACTATTACAAAGGCGTAATTTCTACTCTACTCCAATTACTTTTGGCGTCGATACTCAGTAACTTAACTTAACTACCTTTTTTGAGTAATTTGTACATGTCTGGTAGTGACCCAACACGAGCGCTTTGTCAGACGAGAACCGAATCCCAAAAATAAACGGCGGTCGAGCATATATAGCATCGTGTCGGGTGGGGTATCCAAATATACATCCCCCCCCCCCCAGAATAAAAAAAAACAAAAGGGGGGAGCGGCGCCCCCCCCTTTCAAACGTTCAGAGTTCCTGTATAGGCTCTCTACGGGAGCCAGAGTTGCGCGGTCATCCCCGTACCGCCGTCTTTCCTGCACGGCGTTGGAAGCCTGCTCCTCACGTGACTGAACTCGGCGAGTAACGGCGCCGCGCGTTCGAAGCCTTGGACAACAGATCTGCTGAATCATTACCGGCGATGTCGAATGCAAAAGCTAGGGAGCACAAAGCAAAATGCTCTGCGGCCGTGATCGCGTGCTATAACCAACAGAATATTTCAAAACACATTGGAAGTGGTCACTCGTTCTAGAAACATCTACTATGTCCAGTACAACTTGAGACGTGTGGAATCTGATAGAGGCCAAGTACGTACTAACTATGGGGAACAAACATTCAAACAGCAATTAACACGAATTTTAAATATGCATCCACAAATTCTCGATACAGCAACTAAATCCCGATCTGTAGATACATTAAAAAAAATAACGAGGAATTATATTTTCGAGCATGTATAAAATATTGTGTAGAAATGCTTCCAGACATATCATTGCGTCAGAAATGTACATATTTCTCGTTATTTTTGTTATGTTTTTTTGTGTTTCATTTGTATATATACTGTGTGTTCCTTGCAAGACCTGCACCGCTCTGAAACCTGTATGGGGTACGGGACCTGGGTCAGGTGTTTTAATGCACATTTTGTCCCTGCCACCCCAAAATAAAAGGGCAAATAAATACAAATACAAATACAAATACAAATGTCTCCTTGAAAAAGCGGAAAATAGCGGAGTTGTTTAAGTACTATTATGATTCCGGGATCAATGACAAGAGTACAAGGATTAAACAAAGAGCTGCCAAACCAACATACAGGGTGTCACAAGAAAAAATTTACGCGGTCTTTTTTACCGCAAAAATAAACTAGGCATCGCCGAACGCTCATTCTCTGCCCAAAGGTAGAGCTAGAGGTCACAACCAGATGCCAAAGTTTCAGCCCGATCCGATAACTTAATCAAAAGTTATAAGCGATTTTTTTAAAAGTTCAATGGGAAAATGGAGCCCATTTCCGCCTGTTTTCGGTTTCTGGTGCCATAGAGCCCCATGTGTTTGAAAACTCCGTCGGCCGCCATTTTCCCTGTGAAATTTTCAGAAAATCACTTATAACTTTTGATTAATTTATCGGATCGGGCTGAAACTTTGGCATCTGGTTGTGACCTCTAGCGCTACCTTTGGGCAGAGATTGAGCGTTCGGCGATGCCTAGTTTATTTTTGCGGTAAAAAAGACCACGTAAATTTTTTCTTGTGACACCCTGTATGTTGGTTTGGCAGCTCTTTGTTTAATCCTTGTACTCTTGTCATTGATCCCGGAATCATAATAGTACTTAAACAACTCCGCTATTTTCCGCTTTTTCAAGGAGACATTTGTATTTGTATTTGTATTTGTATTTATTTGCCCTTTTATTTTGGGGTGGCAGGGACAAAATGTGCATTAAAACACCTGACCCAGGTCCCGTACCCCATACAGGTTTCAGAGCGGTGCAGGTCTTGCAAGGAACACACAGTATATATACAAATGAAACACAAAAAAACATAACAAAAATAACGAGAAATATGTACATTTCTGACGCAATGATATGTCTGGAAGCATGAGCGTTCGGCGATGCCTAGTTTATTTTTGCGGTGCAAAAAACCGTGTAAATTTTCTTTTGTGACACCCTGTACTTTCGAGGAGCTCCGTACCTTGAACTTCTTTCTCCGAAATTGCGGGATGCGCCGTTGCTCGTCGGTTGGGAAAGAGAACTACGTGGACCTTCGGTTCTCCGGTATAACCTCCCCGACACCGGGGCACACGAGACTTATATGGCATCGATCCTCACATTCGCACGCACGGAACACACTATAGATTTTGTTGGCCAACAGATGCAGTAAATAAGCAGGCGTCTTCGCATTCCGAACGACGTTGCTCAATAGTGCACCTTGTAGATACTTTTATTAGAGCTAGAGCATCGCATTTCTAGCGGAAGCTCGTGCCGTCACTTCGAAGCATATGGATTAAGCACGTTCCCGCTGGGTCCGCTTTCCCGCGGTGTACGATCTTCTAAAACTCTCGCCTGCGCGGATTCGCCTGCAAATCCGCAAGTGTAAACGCGCCGTGATGTCTGACGTTGCATCGCATGCGAGCCGCCTGCAGTCTGATAAAGTTGCGACGTCACGTCGAGTAATTTTTTTTTTTAAATTAGATTTAGTTGGTACAACCAATGACGCTCAGACCGTATCAAACATGACGGCGCATAAAAAAAAAATTAAAAAAGCATTTCCCCGGGTTATCTGGAGTGCTTCGTCAGCGTCATTGCAAATGCTCTGTTGGCTCTCCTCGCTTGGTCTGGGAGCAGTGACAAAGCTGACACAACAAAACGGAGCGTGCAGGCTCAAGTTTCTAGACGGTGTTGTTCCGGCTCACAGCAGCTAAAACCAAAACTAATAACGCAATACTACTTTTTATTTTATAGGGTTTGAACGTATCACACGCTGTGTACCAAAGTCCATAATTTCATACGCGCTTTTTTGAGTAAAAACGAAAAGAATGAAAAACTAACTACGAAGTGAATATTAGAGGTAAGCGAACAACTAACTTCTCTATTTTCTTCTCGTTGCAGGAGCTCATCACAACACTGTACATAGGCTTTTTGGGTCTCATTTTTTCCTCGTACTTTATGTACTTGGCGGAAAAAGACGCCATGGGAATCGAAGGGAAGTCCGACTTCACCAGCTACGCCGATGCCCTCTGGTGGGGAGTGGTGAGTGAACACAGAAGGCGAATCCGCCATTTTCGATCTCATAATGGGGGAAACAGCGAAGCTGATTGAATTTCCTTCAATACAAATCCATGTGGATGTTTGTTTTCTTATGCAATCACGATGCCGCGGACACGCCGCTCGTACATCCATACAAAAGACATGGTGTTCACTGTAGACACGAGGACAGAATTATCAACGGTGCACTCTTCAACCATTTTCAAGCATGTTAACCTAATACATATCTAGGCATCGAACATCCTTGCAGACAGTTTTTGTATGATGTGTTGAAAGTGCCACGGCGCCTTATAAACGGTCGTTTATGACTCCATAATAAAAAAATAATAATAATAATAAGCGGCTAAGCGAGAACGGTCGAGGCTAGCTTGGTTCGTTTAAAGCTACGACGCCATTTTCGAGTTTCCGAAACTATACTGGTTTTCACCTCAAGAAAGAAGGACGTTCTGCGCATTGTTCGTTCGCCTCGCGAAAGAGTTCTGAGAAGATTTGGTTGTAGGAGGAAGAAGCGATGCTTTTGGCGTTTAAAACGTGTACGTTTTGATAAGATCACATTTGTCTAATCTTACATTTACCTACATATATGTCTTAACGCTCTACATAAATGGGGAAATTAGTAATTCTCGGCGAAGTGCCGCACATTTTCTACTACGGTTCTTAGGGTGAAACCGAGTATAGAACAAAACTCGGAGACGAACGAATACGTAGAAAGAGAACCACGGTTCCGCCCGCTCCATTAATTTACGTCCCCCGAGGCCCTCTCTTTGCGCTTTCGAAGGCTATCCTCCGTACACTCTAGTCCCCTCTGAGCGCAGTGCTCAAAGCTGCGAGCCCGTCCCCGCCAATCGCCTGCCTCTAGGACTCGTCCCGTGAGGCAGTCCTCGCGAAGCTCCGCAGTTGATCAGGACCCAAGTCACGTGACGCTGTGGGAGCTGGGACTGGGGCGCGGGGGTGGCTCGTACGCAGCTTGGGCTTCGTGGCCGAAAAGGGGACAATGGACAGTGTAGCGTCATCCATCATCCGAAAGCTCCTCGTCGGCCCTCCGTGTCGGACTCCGAAAACGAACCGCAAGTTTTCTTCTTTTCTTTTCTAAAGCGTAGAAAGTTTTGACATAAAACAAAGCAGGAATATAAATATAAAAGATTGAATGTTTCTTCTATGCGCAATATGAGCGAGCTTTCTCTTGTGTGTGTATGTGTGCGCAGCTTTTAGGCGCCCGTTTCCGGGTTAAGCGGCGTCGCCATCATCGTAACCGCGCGCGTTGCATTATGGGAAATTTTCCAGCTAAATTTAGCGAAGAAACGTAACCCGCTAAGTTTAGCGGCAAAATTGACGTCACGTGACCTGAACACCAATAGACCTATTGCTATATTACCCTAGGGAGCCTTCATGTGCGCTTTGTCCAAGCATCAAGGAGAACGCAGGGATTGGTGTTCCAAGCGCCGCACGTGCTGGCGTCAGCAGATGTAACTTTTCTAAAGCAAATACCTAGAACAAATGGCATCTTGCACGCGCGTTCGTCAACGGGGAAGGCGTGCCCGTGTGGCGCGTGAAACACCAATCTCTGCATTCGCTTTGATGCTTGGGTAATACAGCAAATGGTCTATTCAGTTTTCCCGCTGAATTTTCCAGGAAACTTTTTCTGCTAAATTTAGCGGGGAAAGCGGCGTCACGTGACCTCAACACCAATTAAGTTTCCCCGATAAATTTAGCGGGATATTCTCGCTAAAGTTTTTGCTAAATTTAGCGGGAATATTTCCCCGCTAAATTTAGCGAAAATTTCTTGTTAATGGGGAAAAGGAGGGGATGGGGAGGAGGTGCATGTCTTTCCCTCCGTTCCCTCCCCCTTCCTCCTCCTCCTCAAGTGCTGCGCTCTAATTCGGCATTACAGAGAATTGTAAACGTTTTTAAATTTTCGCTTTGTGCAAAACGGCGGACTTGTTAGTTTCTAAGAAACCACGCGTTAATATACGTACATAACCAAACGCGCTAGATCTTTTCGGTTTGACCGAACAACGAGGAGCTTGCAACGGCACATTTCTTTGCCGACTCGCAAGTTATTTGGGTCACCAACAACTTATAAAAACGAAGCGTGTGGTGAGTCCCGAGCATGCTATCATTGCTCCTCAGCCAATCAGGTTGCAGCAAAGCCGATCAAAATACTGAAAGACCAATCACGAACCAGAAAGCATGTGTCTCGTGAGCCACGCCCTTCGTTTGTTATTAGGCTGGGAGTAGCTACAGATGAATGGATACATTTCACTGTACGCGGGTCGCGACCATCTGGGGCTCTAAACTCGTCAAACACAAAGTTGGGGCCGAAAGTTTTTAGAGCCCATTGATACCACGACGGTGACTTCCCGCTTTTGTCGCCGCCGTTCAATACACTCTAAAAAACGTCTGTGCGTGTGCTTTCCCGCACAACACTCGGAGAACCAATCAGCGCAACTTTCGGAGGCAGCTCAGCGAATGACGATGCCGAAACATCTGTTTGGACCAAAAAACGCAGACTGAGTTGTGACATTAAGCAATGCAAAACGTCACGCTTGCATTGGTTAATGTCACAACTCAGACTGCGTTTTTCAGTCTAAACATATGTTTCGGCATTGTCATTCGCTGAGCTGCCTCCGTAAGTTGCGGTGACTGGCTCTCTGAGTGTTGTGCGTGAAAGTAGACGCACAAACATTTTTTAGAGTGTAGGCGCGCTCCGCAAACTCTTGGCTCCAACTTTCTGTTTCACGGGTTTAAAGCCCCTGGTCTACAACGGTGTTTAAAACGGCAATTCATTTCCATCGCGCGCTGGTGAAATATAGCGTACAGGAGGTCACGTACGTGCGCGTGTGAAAACAAAATTAAATTGAGTATGGAGCACCTAATATATGCCAGGAAAGATATTCTGATAACAAGATAATCCACTCAGTTCCACAACCGCCGCCCTGCTTCTACAGCCGTCATCTGTGCGTGCGTGTGTCTGCTTGCGTGTGTGTGTTCGTGTGTGTGTGTTGTGTGTGTGCGCGCGTGTGTTCCTCTGTGTGTTTGCATTTCTTTTTTTTTACGGTAGCACGTTTGCTACTCCGCAATGAGAGTTGATTAGCAACGCCATCTTTTTAGTCGGGAGTGATTTGCAAATGTGGTGAATACACTCTCGCGGAAATCGGTGACGACAGACAACACACACGTCGAAATTCCCTTTGAGTTTTGAAAGAAAAATAATCATAAAAGCATAGCTAAATAAATTTGCCACCTTTTTCCTGCTTCGAAAAAGCGGAGGCTCCGAGTTAAAAAGCTGAAACCCGAGAACGCCAGGTAATGAAAAATGCGGTCTCATTTCACGGGCACAAAACAATAATAAAAAATTTAAAAAATGTATTTTGGTTGTTTCACGTCGCTCCCGAGTGTCTCGCTGCCGATTGCTGATAATGCGGAAAGTATTTTCGTTTCAATCTCTTTCCGTTGGGTTGTTACAATCAAGAACTAAAAAAAAGGCTCTCTTTGGCCTTTCCCAAAATCCGTCAGCATGTCACGTCACAATCTGACGTCACGTGACGTCACCGTGCCGCGTGACGTGACGAAAAGTGACTCATGAAGTCACGTGATGTCATAGTTTCACGTGACGTCAAGATATCACTTAACACTGTGACATCATCGAGGCTACATGCCTTAAACACAAAATCCCTGACCGTGTAAATGCGATGCATTTGAAATGTTTCTCAACTATCACGCAATGCACCATTTTAATTTCTTTCGTTTGGCGGGTCTGCAAGATTAGCCTTCTTTTTTTTTCGTTGTTACTTTCTTCTACGCTTTGACTGGAAATTATTATAATGCAATTTACTTATAACTATAATGAGAAAAACTCGAAAAATTCAATCGTTATAACCGATTATCCTTGTATCTGAACTAGAAACTGATCGTTTCTAGTCTAGACAGTGATCGTTATAAGCGGTGCGTCGTTATATGCGGTGTCGCTATAAGTGTGTTGCACAGAACGTCGATCACAGCCATGCGACGTGCCAGTATGCGGTCCCATCAAAACGAAGTGAGAAAGTTCGGCACACTTCCTACGCGCGGGCGGTGATTGGCCGGTCGCAGTACGCGTATAAGAAGCGCAGGCTTCAATCAGCCAATCGCCATCAAACGTATGGTTTGCATGTGACGTCAAATATTGCACCATGCTGGGGGTCGTGTCTACTCGTTCTTACCGAAGAGAACAAATTTGGTTGCGCAAAAGGAATGCCGTGGAAAGGTACTCGCGCGCAGCGGCAAGGACCACCACAATTGCGCCTGATCGGGTGTCAATGCAAGGCATGTAAGTGTGCCGTACAATCAGACACGTGTCATCGACCGTACCTTCTCGCGCGAAAAATACGCCACGATCAGAGCATTTATTTTTCAATTATTGAGACACCAACCTTTTACAGCGGAGCTGTTGAGTGCTAGTTTCTTCAGGATCGTGTCCGTCCACACAGAAATGTCGACACAAAACTCTGGTTGCCGCCGTCGCTCATAGATGGCGGTAGCTGTCCAGAGTGCAGTGTTTGCCAGTTCTCTGCTTGCCGGCAACCTTTCCAGCATTTCCACTCTGGCTTGCCGACTTGCGGACGGCCATTAATTCATTCCCACCATGGTTCAGCTTCGCTGGTCTTCCTTCTTCACCAGAGGGACAAGGCTGAAGGTTTTTTTTTTTTCTTTCACACTTCGGACACCCTCAGAAAAAATACCGAAACCCTCCCCCATAAAAAAAAATACTTTTGTTAGAGATGGGATATTACATTAAAAATCTTAAACTAGAAAACAAAATAAAAAACAGTAAATGATCAGACGAGAAAAGACTAATCATGTCCAAAAGAAATCGATCCTGATTTGTTTTTTTCCAATAAACGTGTAGTCACCTGGACACAGGTTATGAATCTGCGCAGATGTTGAAGTTTGGCGGGTTTCCTTTTCGATTTCTTTTTACGTTCAACGCAAAACACGTTTGTCAA